CTTCGGGAAGGGCTTGATCACGGCCGTCTGGTTGGGATTCTCCTTCTTGTTGATGTGCACCGACAGCCGCTGCCACAGGTGCTGGCCGCGGCTGCTCTTCTCATTCTGCGCCCAGGTAACCGACTTTCCATTGGAGCTGTGGGGAGAAGAAAGAGGAGAGAGGTGACTCAGCGAGGTACCCCCGGGCGAGGGCTTCCGTGTCGATTCCCCACTGGTGGGTGGTTTTGGGGTCCAGAATAGATCCTATTCTTCTGGGAACAACCCAGCTAGTGAAGGACGGCATAGCCAGGCGCTGGTGGCGCATGCCTGGAATCCTAGCTACTCGGGAGGCCAAGACCTGAGGATCCTGGTTCCAAGTCAGTTCTAATAAGTAAATGCAAGAGACCCGTACCTCCAAGTAAACTGCCAAGAGCCGGAAGTGGAGTTGTGGCTCGGTGGTGGAGAGGTGAGACTTTTACAGACATTGTTTAGCGTCAGTAGAAGTCTAACAGGATGGATTGGTAGGTTTCTTCAACTAACAGAGACACTCCGTGGTGTTTTGGAACCGTAGAATGAACAAAAGACCCTAAACTCTAGGTTTTAATTCTGAATCTGCCATCTTGGAGGTTTGGAAAAATGATCTCTTAAGGGTGCACTAAGGCGCAGTGTACATGTGGCAGATGTGGATTTGGAGGTTACCATAGGAGATGGTGTCAGGACGCTCAGGTTTTGTGTTCCATCTAAACACAGCAGGTTGGAAAATAGAAATATGGACCCAATGCCGTTTCCAACCTTAGTCTAAGAAGAGAAAGTAGTCCAAAGTAATATATGTGCCAAAGCTATAACACCTTTCCAGGAGTTTCTCTTTTACCTAAGCTATTTTAACAAGAGTTGAGTTCCATGATCCTAAGGGCTGTCTTTTCTCACATGAAATGTCAACTTAGATCATATCTCTTTCAATAAATTCAACATTTTTTCTCTTCGTGAAATTCTCATTATGCTTCCTTATCTCATCAATTTCCTTCCTTTTTGCTCAAGCACAATTCCTTCCTCCTCTTCTTTACTTTTCCCTCCCTCCCTCCCTCCCTCCCTCCCTCCCTCCCTCCCTTCCTTCCTTCCTTCCTTCCTTCCTTCCTTTTCCTACTATGCTTCACTTCACTTTCTTAGTCTCTTCTAACTATACATCCAACTAGGCTGGATTTCCACAGACCCTATATTAGACCTTTAGTATCTTTTGGTCATATATCCATCACATCTGCTAGATGGGGCAACATGAAGGCACAGACAGGATTTGTTATTTTCTGTTATGTGCCTAGTACCCAGTGCATTGTCTAGAATATGGCAGGTGCCCAATAATATTTTGGTACTAATAATTTGAATGGATAAACATTTCATGAATAAATTTTTTTCTCAGACTTAAATTTCAAAAAGTAATTTCATTTAAATGAAATTCTATTTTTCTCTTATAGATTTTCCTACTTATCATGTAGCTCTCTTTAATCAATAGTATTCCATATATAAAATATTTTATTAACTAAATATGAAAACACAGATCTTGATAATACAATGACAGTCACAAGAGAATTCTGAATATGTGTGTTTGTAAAATTCCCAGTGGTGAGAACTATTGTAAAAGTATGAGTATTGAAAAGGAGATAGGCCCAGATTGCAAGGCTAAAACATGGCCTTGGTAGATGCTCAGCAAACCACTTACCACTTCTGTCTTTTTTTTTTTTCTCTAGCATAAAATGGAAGAAATAAACATCCCTACTCACCTTTTGGGAAAACCAATAGGATCACACATGAGAGTAAAGCGTTGCACTTCTGAAAATACAAATATTAACCCTCCCATTGACCTGAGGTAAGAAGTTATGTTTGTTATTTAAGGTAAGATTTTCCCTCCAACTTCAGAGTTATTTATTTTTTCCTGTGGCTTGTAGGAAGAGAAAACAAGGGGAACTTTTCTTTACCTGTCTATAGTATTTCATTCACCTTTCCCTGAATATATACTGGCTATTGGAAGAGCAAGAGAAAGATGGGGACAAGGACAGGACAAATCAGTTTGCTGCATCTAAGGAGGGAGCCAATAATTATCTTTTCATGGACCTTTTACCCCTTCTCAAAACTTAATACTGTTCAATCTAATGTATTGCTCTTTATTTCTCAGGGGGAAAAATGCAATTTCAATAATGTTATTGGAGAGTTTTTTTTTAATCTGTTAATTTTTTTTTGTTTACATTTTAGGTTTTCCAAAATGATACCTTCTACCTGTATTCTCAGCAGTTTATTCTTCCTTTCTGTCTCTTCCATGAAGGCACTTAAATAATTTATTCATTTTAAGCAATCTGTGAATGTCAAAACTTCAATGACTTCTAGTTTCTTTATTCATCTGCCCGGACCTGAAGAAATTAGAGCTTTCTACAACAGCTTGCCCTCACTAGGAAGAACACTTAAATCAAGTCTGACCATCAAAAGTGTGTGTGGGATTTACAGTTTTTGTATCCATATTAAATGTCAGTTGAATAACGTATGTGGTTTATCACACCCTCAAGCTTGCTTAGAGTTGGATCAACAACATATAAACAACTAAAATTCTTATTTTTTTTTGCTGAATTAGAAAATCTAAACTCTTATTTTCTGTTGTGTGATTTATTAGCGTGTCCAAAACTTGCAGTTCTAGGGCATTGAAGTAATCAAATATACTCTCCAAAAGTTAACAAATGTGTTTTATTAAAAATGGTCTTCATTATTGAACAGCTCTTGTTCATGTATTTTGGTTTAAGGGATAGCCTGAAGGGAGATACAATGATTATAAGATTCAAAAACAAAAATATTGCTTAAAAATCCTGAAATAGCATTAGCAAGTGGCATTAACAAATGATGCTTATAGAATGACATCAGAAAATATTAGGCAAAAGAAAAGACCTCATAAATTAAGATTATTTTAAGCAGAAAATTTTCAGTGATGCATTTTCTTCGATTTTCTTAAGCCCTTTCCCCAATCCATTTTATTTTGACTTGAATTATAAAGCCAGAAACTACAGGTTTTGAACCCAGTGCCTCACTTTCTAGGGAAACACTCTAGCACACACTATTTCCCTAATCCTGGTAATACATTTTAAATCAGAGTAATTTGGTCCTGGAGCTAGTGGCTCACATGTATAATACTAGCTACTCAGGAAGCTGAGATCTGAAGTTGATTGGTTCTGAGCCAACTCAGGCAAACAAAGTCAAGAAACTTTTATGTCTAAATAGCCAGCATCAACTGAAAATGGAGGCATTTTGTAAGTGGAGCAGGAGATATGAGGAAGAAATTCCAGCAAGAGCATAAGGCCTAGAGTTCAAGTCCCAGTACCAGCACAAACAACAATAACAACATAACAAATAAAAAGCCCACCAAAATTTGATATTGGTTACATTCAAACATTTCAAAGAAGTTGAATGTCTTTCTTCCTGCTCTTTGCCTAAAATCTGACAAATTGATTTTACAAACTATACTAAAGAACGCCCTAAAATATGTATGAAAGTTGTTGAAGCATCTATATAAATCCTCTCAGTTATAACACAAATAGATGTAAGTAGCTATTTTATTGATAGAAAAAATACAAACAGCTATTTGATACATTCATTAAGACGGTATGCATAAAGAAGGTATGCATAGAGAAAGATACTTGAATAAAAGGATATAAAGAATCAGATTACCTAATATAGATACAATAATCAAAATGATACCATTTTATATTTGTATAGTATTTGTAAAGAACTTTTAGTGACACACTGTCAGAGGTAGTAGGATGAACTCCTTTCTAAAGATGATAAAGCTATGGCATAGTGAGCTTATGAGATTTGATTTACCCAGTTGCAGAATTAGCATGTGGTAAAGTTAGAGGAATATACTCTCTCATAACTCACAATTCTTAATTTCTGTATCATGATACTGTTTGTGTTTTCTTTTTAAGCTATTCTTCCTTCTGAGAACAGCTTCCAGAGGTGTCTGGAAATGATAGGTGTCTTAAGTAGATAAGATAGTCATTTGACTTATATTGTCTTACCCCATGTCTCTGTTCATTTTAATCATGCACTACTCATGCATCAAGGAAAGCACACTGCATTATATCTCTCTTGGTCATTAACTCAAATAGCACCAAGTTTCAGAGATAATGATTGATAGCCTGATGATAGAGGCATTTAATGCCTACAACAATATAAATCATAAATGTGGCCATATATTATATGACAATTCTCAGCCATTTTCTTCAAGACATCTTTCCTATGGGTGGTTTTAATTCTTTCATTTTCATTCCGTTTTGGAATTCCAATAATTGGGAACTCTGTACTAACTGTTAGGGATAACCATAAACTTAGATTCTTATGAAAATATTGGTATTTGAATAAATAGTGGCAACAACATATCATATGTTATTTTCATAGGTTATTTTCATTTACTAATGACTCTGTATCCTGTAGATAATGGTTACTGATATATGAAAGATCTTTCAAAGAAGGTAAGATTGAATTCAGCAGAGAATATAGTTAAAGAATAATGATAAGAATTATTTGTGGTATTTTGGTGAAGATGGGTTGCTATTCTTTTTCCTAAGACCTTGTAATCAAGATGTGGACAGACAGGTGGAAAGCTGACAAAAGCAAGGACAGGGACAGAAGGATAGCAGCAAAACACAAGAAAAAGGTCTGGGCATACACATCACAAGGGATTCACAACTTCACCAGAAGAACACTATTTCCAGCAGTAATGGTCAGAGAAAGCTGCATAGATACAATGCATGCAGGCTCTCAGTAATTGATACACTGTGATAAAATACTAAAATAGAGGAATGGACATTGTCCTCCATGATTGCTAACAGTAACAAAAGTTCAGACATCTATAAGAGTTGTACAGAGATAACTAATAGTCTCATTTGACTGTGTGGAGCGCAGTGGAATTCATGTTTTCAGAAGATGTAGTTTGGACTGTTTACCTACTATAAAAATTCTTCTCGGCTACCCCCAACCTACAAGAATCTGCTCTCTTCTTCTATGTGAACAACTCAATAGTAATTACTTTTGGTCTTCTTATAATGACTGGAACAGTTATCTTGTTAATTTATTTGACCAGAACAACTGATTGGTAGATTAAAATGTAATGTACATATATCT